GAGCCGGGCCGGGCAGGCCCTGCTGGGCTGGCAGGGTGGGCGGGGGAAGGTGGGTCAGGGCAGGGAGGGGTGAGTGAGAAAAACCATCGAGGAGGAGGGGAGGGCAGACGGGAAGGTTGAAGGAGCTTGGAGAGGTGATGGGATGTAGTGGGGAGGGGTAGGAGAGAGGGCTGAGGGCCCGAGCGTGGCTCAGCCCCTTCCCTCCCTTTCCAAACTCTGCTCCCAACCGCCCTTCCCTCGTCGCTGCTTCGTGAGCCCGTCTGGCTGCTCCCGGGTGCTTGGCACGCAGGTTGGTGCTGAAGGCGCTGCCTGGCTCTGAGGGCACCTGGGGGAGACACCTCGGCCCTCGCCGATGGTGCTGGGAGCCCTGGCAGGGCCCTGCTGGGCGGGGAGGTGCTGGGGAGGAGGGGGGGTTCCCAGGAGGGGCAGTGGGAACCTGCTTCCTGAACTTGGATCGGACATCTCCGTGTGTGGGTTGTGAAAACAAACCAAGGAGACTGGTGGTGGTGAGATAATTAAGGAACATTTCTTCTCTCATCAAAATTTCGCTCCCTATTTTTCATCAGCTATTTCAGATTGCTTTTGTTGTTGCTTGTTTTTATTTATTGTTACTATAATAATTTTAATTGCTTTTGATTCTTTGTACTTTTATCCTGTGTCCCCCTAGGATTTGTCTGAAATGAGCTTGCAGAGTGTGTTTTGCTGTAGTTACTTGTTTTTTCATTTAATTTTTACTAATCACTTGATATAAATTAACTAAGATGGTGCCAGTCTCCTTCTTAAAGTGTTTGATGGAGGTAAGGTTGTTCTTGCCTGATTTCTCTGTACAAGATATAAGCACCCCTTGAGGACTCACCAGTACCTGCCACAGATTTAATTTGTTCAGGTGCTTTAGTTTATTTAGCTGCTCTATCAGTCTGGTGCTGGTGGAACTAGAGAAAAAAGCGGGTTACTGGTTTGTTTATGACCTCCAGGTGCTCAAGGTGAAGATGCTCTATGTATGTCATGATATCTAGTTAGGTTAAATGAGCTGTGGTCTTTGTGGACCTTTCTGTTTGACTTGCTGAAGCAAATGTTTTCGTTTTTCCATTTGTTTGTTTTGTGAAACAAAATAACCATTTGCAGATGTTATTTATTTGTTTTTTTTTTCAGCTGTGTACATGAAAGTAGTTCTGTTGAGCCTTTCCTCACCAAAGCTTGGCTTTTTGCAGATTTGTGTTTTTAAAGACCAGTTCCCATAAACAAGGGGCTTGACCTAACAGCTTATAATGATATTAAAAATGCTATTAAATGAGATAGCAGTGGTTCAGCTGAGCATATATTTTCTGTTGTGCCCGGCCTAGATGAGGAAACAGCTTCATTTTATTTTGCCCTGGAGCCAGAACAGTGAGCACAGATCCTCTGACCTTGGAAGAAAAAAGAAGCCAGTCTTAACTGTGGGAAGCACCTTGGACTCGATTGCCAGAAAACTTCAAGTTAACTTTTCTTTCTTTTCCATGAGTTTGTACCAAGTTAAGGGAGAGTGCAAAAATATTTGCAGCTGTACATGAGTGGGAGGCTGTGCAGCTGTTCCTGCCGTGTGGTTTGCAGCACTTTGCCATGCTGAGCTGGGTTAGCAGGCATGGGGGGAGAGGGAGGGATGGATGGACTTGTGAAAGATCAGTTGTCCTTATCTAGTAAAGACTTCAGAATCAGTAGTTTGGAAGTTTTATCACTTACTGGTAGGGTATGATTTTTAAAAATAAAGTCAATGTACAAATGTTGACTACCTGGATTTGAAGGACCATGGCATTGAAATGAGGTAACTGACAACACACTTGCAGTAATGTGGAAATTGACAAGTGGGGAGCTTTTAAGGTGCATTAAGAATTGACTTGATTAATTTCTTTCCTGTGTATGTATATTTCAGCTCTCTGAAGATGTAGTGAACCGAATGAAAGCATCTCCTCAAAGCAGAAGGGACAACCAGAGATCTCCCTATTCATTCAGTGGCACAGCTCAATCTTCACCAGCTGCAGAAGGGAAATTCAGGTCTCCTACAGGTACTGTCAGTCCATGTCAGGCCTGCTGACTGGTTTGACACTGTCACTGTATGTTATATGTTGTGCTTATATTTTCCAAGAGTGTCTTGTTGTGAGGGGGCTCTTTGATTAGCCTGTAACATTTTTGTGTGTAGATCTTGTCATCACTGCCTGCCATGGATGGTACAATCCTGTGATGTCCTCTTTGTTTCTGCAAGCTGGCTGTAGCATTTAGCAGTTGAAATGCTGTGGTTCTAGTTCTTTTGCTCTGTGACCTTAAGTAAGACAACTTATTTTTCTAGGTAATTTTCTTCTCCATCTTTGGTTTATCATCCTTTTTGGATACTTTAATAAACTTGTATCACGTTGTGAATATGTCTAGAATTTCAGGTGAACATGCAATAAGCAAGGCAGATTTTTTTATTTTATCTGTCATTCTTGGCAAACTGCCTTGTTGTCTCCTTTGTTTGCACAGGGATGATATTGTGGATGTGTTGGGGAAATGCTGCTTTTTGTTCTTTGGAAATAGGCTCATAGGGAAGGATAGACTGACACAGTACAGCTTGCCAAGTGCATGGTGAGAACTTGGTTTCTGAGCTTGTCTGTCTTTACAGGTCAGAAAACTGATTTCTTTTGGTTCTCAAATATACTTTGTTGCTATGTGCTATCTTGTGGATTTGTTTAAGGCATCCACAGTAGCATCAAGTTAGGGAGGCAAGCCTGTGCTTTTAGAGATTTGTTTGCTGTTATCTCACATCTTTCCTGAAAGTGGATTCAGCAATGTGGATGGCTTGGATGCCATCAAATAGTTTCATCTCTACTTGTGGGAAAGCAGGAGGTCAGGAGGAAAACTTAATGGAACTAGGGGAAGGAAAAGGAAAGTACCTCTAACCCCATGCTTATGTTTCAGTATGAACCAGGATTTGAGGAGTTAACATCCTTACCTGGAAGTTTCTGTAGCCTGTGTGCATTGTTCAGTGTGCATTGTTGAGGATGATGCTGTCAGTGTCTTTTTGTTTCATGAATTCAAACTCCATCCATCAAATTTATATTTTCTTCAGACTTTTCAAGGTGTATTTTTTTTTTTCATGGGGTGACACATGAAATTCTGTTACTCAAATAACTTCTGTGATGAAGGACTGTGTTTTGTATTGTAGCTGTCACAGGCTTCTGTTCTTTTTTTTAGGAATCCAGCCACCAACAGCAAGTGACTCTGGTCAGAAGTCTTCTGCTGCAGAGCAGGAACTGTACAGGAGGTGAGGTGAAGTTTACATCTAAAATAATTAGATCCATTTATGTATCTGATTCCATTTGTCCTCCTTTTCCTAGGCTGGACATAATGTCACTCAGCCAGAACTAGAGTGCTATGAATTTTTCATCCAAGGGTATTAAATTTATTAAGATAGAAATAACTGTAAAGATATGGGGGTAAGGGGAAAAAAATGCAAAAGAAGACTGTCCTCCCTGTCAGAACCACTGCACTCTCCTCCTAGTTCTAGGCATTGCAGGGTAGTGAGAACTTCCACTCTGTGTAGCTCAGTAGCTTTCTGTTATAAAACTACTGGCCTGATCCATCTGTGTGCTCTTAAAGATGCTGTAAAGATCAGACTTTTGTGTTCTTTCCTTTTATTGTTGTATATCACTCCATCTTTTCCAAAGCAGTATCTATTTAGCTAACTACTTCCTATTCTCACTGTTTTCAGGTAATAAGTAGATAATAAAGCTAAATATAACTGAAGTATAAACTTATATTGCTGCTAAGTCCACTGTTGTTGCCAGAGCTGTACCTCACCAAAGTTGCAGATCATGTTTAAAGTTTATTGGACTTTTAAATTCTTGTTGATAATGGAGAAGCTGTGAGCAGAATTTGTGTCAAATAGATCATGGATTTGTGTTGCAGCTCTAGACAGGGATAGTCCATGCTAAGCCACCACCCTGTTGCCAGAAGTCTGCTGATCACCTTCTTTCTCTCTGTTTGCCTTTGATGCTCATACAGGTATGAGCAGGAACAGGCACTGGTCCAAGAGGAGCTGCTCCGTCTGGCTAAAAGAGAGAGGGAAGCAGCAAAACAGCAGGAAAGGAACAAGGCTAATGATGAGAGGCAGAGAGCAAGCCAGCTGGTGAGTACCAGTGTATTTCCATGCAGGATGAGCTACAATACCTCTGCTTGAGGGGTTCATTAAATGTCACTTGTGTGATGAGCTTAGAAACTCTGATTCGGCTGAAACGCTCATCACCTCCTAATTCATCACTTAACGTTTGGGTTACAACATAGAGGGCCAGCTACACTTGTACCATTTCCTGCAGTGGGGCTAAGGCCAAGCTTGCAGGGAGAGGCATAAGCAATGACTGTGCAGGGGACAGCTTTACCTGTGCCAGATCAGTGTGAGCTGAGTTGTCTGAGCTAGAGTGGAAACTTTTAAACTCTCAAGTGTATGAATGAGTGTTTTGATATATGCAGGATCAGATTCTGCTGACTTGATATATACTGAAACTTTCCTTGTTTTTTCTAGAGTGTAATTGTGCGAATACCAAAATTAATAAAAAAATAATAACAAGTTCTGTTGTTTGAGTCTTTTATGATGCTGGTAAAAAAAGAACTATTATAAAACTGTCAAGTATTGTAACGTTCTGAAGCAGGTTAAAGGTTAATTTTTTAGGGACCAGGAAGCATAAACCCCTTTTGTACACACCCGTGACTCCCAGCCAATCTGTTCTTGCCCAGTAGGCAGACTTATTTTTGGGAACTTCTTCTTGCAGCCTTTACTGTTAGTCAGACTAAGATAACCTACTGAGTTTTTGTCACACCAATGCTGAGAACAGCAGTGATGGAGGCAGAAGTACAGTGAGATGAGACTGAGTAGAGAAAAGGGCTTCTATCACTGTGGTAGACTGGAGTTGTCATTGGTCCTTAAAATTCACGTGATACTATTTTCTTGTTTTCTATACTAACATTACTATGGCAGCGTACTGCCTTTACACAGTGCAGAGTCTTACTGGAACTGCCACTTTATCCTGACCTGCAGGGGTATGAGGTGTCAGGGTGTGACAGCTAGGTAGGACTGTGCTTGCCATGGTGAGATCAAACTGCCTGTTCATGTGGACTGTGATGTTTAAACTTTGAGAGAACTGGAGTAATTCTCCTTTCATGGTACATGTTGAAAGGGGATGGTTTAGGTAGAGGACAGACTTTAGTAATGATGTTCTTCATTGTGTTTCTTCCATCCCACTGACGTGGTGCATGCACTTGGTTTAAGTGAAGAATCCTTCTATAAGCATGTTCTTTTCTATATGTTGAATGCTAACAGGCATGGCTTACCAGGCACATATCTTGGCTGTGAAGAGTTTTGAGGTTATAATATGAAGGCATTTTGGGTGGCTGAATAAATAAAATGTATATAAGAATGGCCATAGTGGTTCAGACAGAAGGTTCTTGTAGCTATAGCCCATCTCTGATAGTGATCCAGAGCAGCTGCTTACAGAGGGCATGAGAGCAGAGTAGACATCTAGTATAAACTTCCAGCTTCTGCTCTTCTGGGACTTAGAGGCTTCTTCAGCAAGAGGTTGTATTTTCATGTTGGTGATCAACAGTCCTTAATGAAATTGTCTTCCGTAAATTTGTCCATTTCTTATTTTGGTCATGGACATGTACTTTCTGACTCCATGATAATGTTTATGTGGCTGGGCTGGTACATCTCTGAGATTGTTCTCCTGAATCTAGCTTCTGAACAGCTGCTGTGTCATAGAAATTTCATCTTGGCAGATTGTACTCCAACCACAGGAGTTGCAGGATCACTGAGCTTTAGAATAGCAATGTCTGAGGCAGGTGTCTGCCATTCCTGTGCATAGAACATCTGGGTCAGCACACGCAGTATTAACTCTCTTCCCACCAGGAGGTGAATATTCTCTTTAGAAATGTGATTAGCAGACCTCAAAAGAGGTGAGTGGAAAGAGCTGGTGGATTTGTTGTCCAGTCTAAAGTTGTGGCCTGGCTTAGAAGCAGAGCCCTGTCCTCCTGCAGTGAGGTGTAGAGTAATGTTAGAGAAATGTAACTAGCAGAGCCAGGTAATATTTTTGAAGTGTACAGAGAGCACCTCTAAAAATGAGTTGAGACCTGACCTCTAACATGCAAAAGCTGTTCTATTATCTGTATAAGCTTTTAATCCTGCCATGTCACATACCTAGACATTGCATACTTGACGCTCTGTAAAAATCTCATCAGACTCTCCTTGTGTAACTCATAAAAGATAAAGAGTGACCATGGAGTGTTAGCCCAGAGTGTGGTGCAAGAACAAGAAACTGTTAAATTTCATTGCTCTTTAACTATCTCTTGATCAGTCATAAATTTAAGGTCCTTAAAAATGGAATAGTCTAGCCTGTCCTTGCAAAGATGAGGTCAAAGCTATTGGCTGTCGGCTTCTAGATGTCTTCCTAAGCAGAAACTGTTTTTGCCATCTTTTTAAATTATTTGGATCCCTATCAGACTTGCTTTATCTCAGCTATGGTTTCCTTTTGGGTGTGGTTACCTTATTGACTCAATCATACTCAAATAATATCTGTCTTTTGTCTTCCAGTATTGTTTTCTTCCTTTAGTTGAAAAAGAGCTTGAATATTTCTTGTTCAGTCTTATGATTTTTATCTTTAACACATGAGGCGAATAATGGGTGTGAGCTGCTCTTTCATCTCTTGTCATTCACCTCTTTCAGGTAGCAGATTGTAGTGTAACTCTAGGTACCTAGAAGTAGCTCAGGTGCAGATGGCAGTGGATGTTATCTGCTTAAATTTATAAGGGAACAACTTCCAGGTTTTTTGCTGTTGTTGTTACAATCTACTGAGGAAGCCAGAGAAAAATGGCAACTCCCATGAAAGAAACAGCAAGTGAATAATTTGCTTCTAGCAGTACTTAATTTATTAAAAAATTAAAATTATGCCATGAATAGTTAGAAAGATTTATTTCTTTATCTTTTAAAATTTGCAGTAAGATCTCGAGCTGCCCTCTGCCCTTGACACAGTTTGGTGATTAGTAGCCTTCTCTTGTATCATTGCCTCCAGTACTACTGCAATGTTCTCCTTTAACCTTGCCACTTGTAGTTCATAAATCCAAATAGGATAGCTGTATTTGAAATCATTACGTTTTGATTGTGCTGAATGTTGCTTGTCATTTAATCTGTTCTTCATGATTTTCACTCACTGACTTTTATTATTGGCAGTGTTGCTATGAAGCATTTCTTCAGTCTTATATAGTGCACAGTCCTGAAGAGATGGTGGACCAGAGCTAATATTTGATAGAGAACATGCTGTCAACTTCTGGGTCCAGTTGCTTCATCATTTATGGGAGAGGGTGCTGATTAGAACTTATTTTTTTTCCTATGCTTGTTTTTTTCTAGTTTGTGTTTTGTTTTGGTTTTTCTTGAGGTGGTGAACTAGTTACAAGAAGGATTTAGAGTTAAGTACATAGGTCCTGTTCTACATACTTGTCTTTATTTCTTTGTTTGAGGTTGAACAAAGTACTTAGCCTCTAGATATTTTAGGCTTTGAGTAAAACTCCTTAAAGGTTTAGTTCAAGAAGGAAAGCGGCTTTGTAAGTATAAACACTGCAGCATTCACTTCCCTTTTTGAGTGAATATTGCTTTTAATTAACCACGAGGGACTGGCTCAGATGGAGGTAGTTTGCTAAGCTGCTGCAGAAGAGCTCTCACCAATTTGTATTGGGGAGAAAATGTTTGTCTGTACAGCACTGCAGGATCACGGTGCTGACTGTCCTCTGAAGAATTGAATGCTGTGAGTACTTAGGGTACAACAAGGATCCTATGTACACAGGAGGGCCTAGGGTGTTTCATGCTTGTAGCAGGCTTTAAGTCTCATGTGACATATCCAAGAATTCATACAGCTAGCTTTAAATCCTTTTCTGTTTCTAGCAGGAGGAGCTTCCAGAGTTGTCATAGTCAAGTTATTTAATTCACTTTGTTGTGAGTAGTCTCAACTTTCCACTGTACCAGGAGTTTTTTCCTTTTTCATTTCCAATTAATCAAAACCTCTTCTCCTAGCTTCTCAGTTCTTTTGGCTTTTTTTTTCCTCCTCCTTACCAACAAAAGAAACTTTGCAAGCAAAGCTGCTCTTTTTTCTCCTTTCTGCTTGTGTAATCTCCCTGAGGCTGCACAGCAAGTACAGCATATGCATCGTGAGCCTCTTGGAGCCACTGACTCCCTGCCTGATGGTTTTTACTGAAACCTTTGAGACAAATCAATGTGGAATGGAGATGGAGAAAAGCAGAAGCTGAGGGGGGGAAAATAAACGCGATTAAGCAAAGACATCTCATTACTAGTATAGAAAGGGAGGATTATAACTTAGAAAATAGGAGGATCTCATTTAGGGGCCATGTGTGCCTGTGTTATCAGGACAGAGAGAGAGCAAATAGAATAAATGAAATTAATACTTTGAAAAGAAGCATTACCCAGATTTGAGAATTGAACTAATATGATTTGTGCAAAGCCCTGAAGTTTTTATCTTGCCATTTAATACCCCCAGGATAATGGCCTTGTCAGAGTTATTGACCAAAAGTTGTTGTCTTCCTTCCCACTTTGGAAGAGTGAATTCAGAAGTGGGCAGTGGTAGGAGAAACTTTGTACCATGATTAGGTTTTTCAGACAACACTGACAAGCATTGGTTGCTGTGTGTAAAAAAACTGGGCACAGAATTCTTAAATTGCTGTAAAGTGTTTCTCCAGCTGTCAGTGAGAAAGGACTTATTATTCCCAGCGTTCCTGGTCATGTCCTGCTTGCTGGCCTTGTTGGCCTTTGCTTTCTGGTGGTTCCAGCCTTGTGCTGTTGAGACTAGTGTGGCCCAGAATATAAGAATGGGAGAAAATGCTAGGATTTAAGGTTTGTCTCTGCTTGCTTCAGTAGCCAATTATAATCGGTCATAGGCTGTCAGATTCTTTCAGATGATTTGTTGCCCAGAAATAATATCTTTGCTCTTTAGAGACTCTCATCTCCTCTTGCTGATTCAGGAGAGGCTGAAGGAAGAATGCATGACATGGAGGAATGCCTTTGCTCAGAGCAGTGGGTTTTGATAGTGATGTCATCTTGTAAACATGGGATTCTGAACTTTGTGACGTACT